GTTACGGATCTTCTGTTATCGAAGTTACAATATACACATTGTTGCTGATTTTTTGCAGAAAATACTGCCCTGGTTTTCTCGACTGTTGGAGTATCAAATCTTGTCCGATCGTGCTGAAATTTTGGGAGACGTTTAAGGACTCCGGGATCTTTAATCTGAACGGTGGAGATCGAATTCCAACGGTTCAATCTTGATTTATGAGCTTCTGAATAGTCTGCAGATTTTTGTAGATCAAGGAGAGTCTTTATTTGAAGGTGTATTGGAATCTACGTCTCTTTGAGAAGGTGTAACTAGCCGTGGAGATAGACGCAAACCGAGTTTGTCGTCAAGTCATTCGTAAGTAGACAAATCAATACATTAGAAGGTTCTGTTGTGATTGATTGTGTAATTCTTACGGTGATTTAGTGGAAGGGCTATTACACGGACGTGGGCCTTGCAAACGTAGGAGAACTTGCTCCGAACTGCGTGAACAATTCTTGTGTCTTGCTTACTGTTTTTACTTCATATTTTGCGTGTGTGCTTGTGACAGAGAAGTGTTATAGCACACTGCCCGTCATCTGTTACTGGACAGTGCTGCAACATCTCCTCTACAACATAGTTGATTGTTTTGTTTGCATAGCTTGTGTTTGTTGTTATCCGCTGCACCCCCCCACGAACTTACAATTGGTATCGGAGCTTGGCAAGCTTAAGTTATTAGCTTGATTGATCCATCACCATGGGAGATATTCAAGAAGGTGCTAATGTCTTTAGACCTCCACTATTATGCGGCTATGATTATACTTTTTGGAAGTGTCGAATGAGAGCCTTTCTCAAGTCTCTTGGTGGACAGGTTTGGAGAAGCATAGAGGTTGGATGGTCAGCTCCTACTATGACTGATGCAGATGGAGAACTAATTCAGAAACCTTATGAAAGATTTAGCAAGAAAGAAAAGGATGCTGCAGAATCGAATGATCAGGCTTTGAATGCAATCTTCGGAGCGGTTGACAGAAATCAGTTCCGTCTTATCTCAAATTGCACAGAGGCCAAGAGAGCTTGGGACATTTTGCTTATTACTCATGAAGGCACTACAACAGTCAAGACAGCCAAACTTCAGATCGTGATGTCTAAAATTGAAAATCTTAAGATGGAGGATACTGAGTCTATCACAAATTTTCATGGGCGAGTTAGAGAGTTGGCAAATGAGGCTGAAAGGCTTGGTGAACCAATTACAGAAAACAAACTGGTGTTGAAAGTGCTACGGTCTCTTCCAGAAAAATACTCTATGGATGTTAAAGCTATTAGACAAACACAATCTCTCAATGTTATGTCTCTTGATGAACTGATGGGGAACTTAGAAACCATTGAGTTGGAGATGCATGAAGATATACAACGTAAAAAGCAGCATGTCATCCTCGTTGAAAAAGAGAAGCAGTGTGTTAAAGACAGTGCTGAAACATGCTGTGCTTTTCCAACTTTCCATAGTGTTGACGGTGACTCTGATAGTGACGTAGATCCAAGGGAGATGCTTATAATTGTTGAAGAAAAATTTCAAGAGTCTCTACGGGTCAACAAGAAAAAATCTTTGGAAAATGATAGCCTCAAACGTGAACTTGCTGAATCAAAACGCGATGTGGAACAACTCATCAAAGAGTTACAGAGATACAAAGGTAAAGTTACAACAGAGGATGACACAGAGGATGATACAGAAGATGACACAGAGGCTGACACAGCAGAAGAGCTAGCTATTCTCTAAAGGAAGTGGGTAGAACTTGTTCAAGCCAACCAGAAAACTGTCCTAAAGAATCATCAGCTTGTTGCCGAGCGCAATAGACTAAAGGAGAGTATTTCAGAACTAGAGAAGAAGATTGAAGACTTAGAAGGGCAACAGCCAGATCTCAAGTATGAATTACATCAACTCAAAAACTTTCACAAGTGGATGAGAAGTGCTGGAGCAAAAGCTATTGAGGAACAAGTGAACGTTTCAAAATTTTATGGAGACAAGACTGGTCTCGGATTTTCAGGTTCCGAAAGCAATAAGACCCCACTTGACTTGTTTGTTGATCCAAGAAAGGAAATTGCTCAGAGAGTCCCACAAGGAAGGAAAACAGAAGCAGCTGCATCTGCTGGAACACATTCTGCCAAACCCACTGAAGCATCTCATGAAGCTTCTGTTGGAACAATTTATGCAGCACCCTATGCAAAAAGGCAAAGAGTTGTGACACAATCTAGTATAAGAAGACGCAAGGATCATTATGCTAAACCTGAAAGGTATTCTTATACTAATGTCTATGCTAATTATGTTTGTTTTTGCTGTGGAAAAAGGGGACACATTCAGAGGAAATGCAAGATTTTTAAAGAGCAAAGACACAGAAAAAAGAATGTGACAACA